TCCTCAGTCGGCCGCTGCTGCTCCTAAATGTCATTTGAATACTTTCTTCTTTGCTTTCTCATTATCCATTTGTCTGTGTCACTATTACAATTTCCTGTCTGGCCATCTTCAGTCTTATTTCCACACTACCACCAGAACATTCTTTCTGAAACAGTCTATTTTTTTTTACCCTCAAGGATTCCTCCAGTGGGAGCCATTGCCTTCAGGGTAGCTTTTAGTTTCTCCAGCTTCTAGTCCCTCAGGTGTCTGTGTTATCCCTATACCCACCCACTCTTAGTTTTCCTCCTCTAGGTCTCTGCATGTGTGGTGTCTGTGTCTTACTCTAAGACTTAACTCACTTGGGTTCACCCTTCCAAGAAGCCTTCCTGAACTCATCTGCTGTCCATTTGCTGGGAACGAGAATCCCCTCTGCTCCCAGGAAACATGCATACCCGTCACAACATTCACCTCACTCCTTTGTAACTGGTGGCTTGCTTTCCTGTCTTCTCTCATTACTTTTGGGAACAAAGATGGCTTCTGTCATCTCTTCATCTCAGCACAGGGTCTCAGATACACAAGAGACAGATAAGTGTTTGTTGACTGAGAGGGAGCTCTCAGGGGCTTAGAATCATATTTACCTACAGTTCCCTTCTACGTACATGAAGAAGATTGTTTTGCCTCTGTATCATATAGTCAAAGAAGAAAGTGGCATGAGATTAGCTTGAAGGTCCATTTTCTCTGGCTTTGAAAACCTGGGTTTCCTTGCTTACAGCCACAGGTCCAATTACTGAGTCATGTTATTTTAAAGAATTGGATAGTAACCTCAAGAGAGCTCTTTGATGTAGATGTGGAAGTAGTGAGGTAATTGGTTTGGTATTAGTGTACTATGAAATACTGTACTTTTAGACAGACTAACCAACAGCCAGAAACTATCTTCTGGCCATACACATTTTTTTCTTTGGGCATGTACATTTTTCTTAAAAGGCAGAAGTTTCTTAAAAGCATCTGTAACTGGAGAAGATTAAGAATCCCTGATAAAAATATCCAAATACAAAGCATTTACTGCCTTCAGGGGTCACATAACTGATACTTTAGAATAGTATTTATGGCAATATAGAATTCTGCCAAATAGAAATTGCAAGAAAAACGTAGATTTCTGTGTGAATGAAAAACTATCAATATTCTGGAATTTCTTCCATATAGACTGACACAGTGTTTTTAGTCGCCCATACTTTCACCACCTCAGATTTTTAAAACCAGTTGTGCTTTAGTCAGTCATGTTTACGAGACATGACATCAATTGGTTTGCTCATGCATCTCAATACTGGTTTGGGGGGCTTTGTAATGACCCAAGAAAATGGGAGATCTCTGAACAACAAACACTGTCTAAAAATGTAGCAGCAGAATATTTAGTTATCTGTTTATCTCTTTGAACAAATTTATCATTCAGAAACCTCTTTAATTATGTTTATTTTATAACTGAATTAGCGTGGGTGTTAGCATGAAGCTAATTTGGAAAGGATTCTAATGTGGAGAGCTTAGTGATATTTAATCAGCTGCACTTGGAATCTGCTTTAAACTGGTTTCAAAAGCAGTAGTTGTGATACCCTAAATCTAGTTAGTCAGATTGGACTTTAGTAAAATTGTCAAGCAGGTGATCCCAAAGCCAATGACATGTGCATCCAGTAGAGGGCACTATGAGCATTTATTTTGAAGATTGGGGTCTGGTCCAGTTCCTTGCATTCATAAGGAGTAAGATGGTATGAAAGACACATTCAGTTAGCTGCTGACTAGCCAGATGAAGCTGTTGGTAGATCCACGAGAGATATACATAATTAATCTTCCTAGGAAAATTACAGTTCAAGATATTTACAGTTCAAGATATTTTCTTCTCCAGTATTTAACGTCATCAATTGTAAGGCTATTTGTTAAAAAGGAGTGGCCAATATTGTAAGCAGTTATTGTTATGGTGAAAGATAGATGGACAGGTCTTGTGCTTCACTGTAACTCAGACATAACCAATCTGTTATTTATTGGGCAGTCACACTGTATTCTAAAAATATTTTTTCTTGATGCAGGCTTTCAAGTTGAGCTGTTCTTAGCACATGAAACTTGATGCTAATGTCAGGTCTTCACTGTCATTGACATGGCAAGAGTAGTTCTAAACACTGTGTGTTTTTGGTTCTCTCCTGCCAGCTGTCAGAAACCTTGGCACTGAGTAATGAAGTCTTCTCAAGGATGTTTTAAAGTCCAACCTTTAGTATGACATATTTCCAAATGTTGCTGGAAGTATAAATATATTGATTTGTTATGTACTAATGACCAGCATTATCATTTAATGGCATAGGAGTAATCACCATTGCCAACCTGGAGCATCCTGACTTAACATTATAAATAGAAAATCACAGTAAACAACACTGGGGTTTCCTGCTAGAGCCTCCATTTAAACCCAAGTATCCATCAACTACATCTCACTTATTTCTTGTGGTCTAGGAGCTTTGTTAATTCTTATACTGCCAGGGCAGTCAGGTTTGGGGGAAACATGTTTTCATCCGTACTGGGATCCAAAGACCATTTCTTTGAATTAAGAGGTTCTTTTTGTCATCCCTTGAGTATGATCGCAAAACAAGCAATTGGAAGTAACTACTTTTCCTGTATCTTTGTAGCTGGCAAATTATTTTCCAGGCGTCTTGCCAGGTATAGGGACTTAAAATAACCTGACAGCATTTTTTAATACAAATTAAAGTTCTAGATCCTAAAAGCAAATACTGTCTGCCACACTATTTATAGTACCCTATTAACAGTCTTTTTACACAAAACGTTCTGAAAGAAATGGTTTTATATATGTAAAGGTAAAACTTTCCTAGGAACTGTATACAGGATTCTACCTAGCCATACTTCCTTTGTTCTTTTTCAGTGGAAATGGCTGTTTTGTGCCTTGTGTGTATGTTGTTGTTAAATATCTACATGTTTATGTCTGTCTTAGAAGGTTTTGATTACATATGTTCTAATTAATATTCTTGTGAAAGCATAGTTTGTAATTAGTAAGTTCTCAGGTCTGATGCCACTGGCCTGGGGACCACTACTCTGATGAAGCCTGAAGTTAGTCACCCATGAAGCCTGCCTCCTCAGTTCGTGTGCTGTGAAGCTAAGACATGAGATTGAGACATTTTTCCTATAAAAGGCTAGAGAGGCAATAGTTGAGGCTTTGTGTGCCATTCTGTCTCTGCAGCAGCTACTCACTTCTACTGTTATAGCAGGAAAGCAGCTGGCAATAATACCTACACACATACCCGTGGTTGTGTTCCAATGAAACTAACACAAATAGGCCTGTTGGCCAGGTTTGGTCCTTTGGCCATAGTTTGCCACCCCCTTGTATAACAGGTTTTGTTAGTCTACCTACAGAAGTTCCAAATCTTTTGGTGACCATCTGCCCCTTAGTTTTCTTATTTGAAAGGTAAAGGGTCTTTCTTTTTTTTTTTCCACACTATGTTGCAAATTGATAATCGGCCTGTGAGGTAATGATGTATACAACTATATATTATAAAGACATCAGAATATGTTGGAAATTAAAATTAGAAACTTATTTCTGAAAGCATGATTGACTCACATAGTTTTACCAGCTTTTTCTAAATAAGCAAAAGGTGTAGAAAGAATTCAGCTCAATCGTCTTTTAAAATTCCAGTTCACCAGGTGATTTTCATCATTTAGGAGGCACTAGAGCAGGGTTTCTCAACCTCAGCAGTATTGACATTTTGGGCCAGATAACTCTTTGTTATGGGGGCTGTCCTTTGCATTTAAACATGTTTAGTAACATTCCTGGCCTTTACACATTAGATGCCAGTAGTATACCTCTAGTCGTAACAACCAAAAATACTTCCAGCCAGTGCCATATGTTTACTGTGGGGTAAAATAACCCCCTTGGAGAGCCACTGCAGTAGAGAATTTTAGCAAAGGAAGGGTGGGTTGATTTCTGTTCTAGACCCTGACTGTGGCTTGTAGACCTAAATATCAGGACTGTTCTCTGTGCTTAATCTTCTTTCTATAGAAAAAAAGCTAAAAATCCCTTAACTTCTTTATCTGCATTAGCACAGGTTGCTGTGTGCATTTCTAGCAAGGCATATTGTATGTAAGCACAAGATGCTGAGTTTTTCACTGAACAGTGTCTTGCCATTCTTTTTAAAAAATCTGTTTATTCTTTGGTTTCCTTTGTTCTTTTTTAATGCTGTTTATCTTTCTTTAGCAGGTAGAACACTATTTCTTTTGGCATATTCATTTTCCAGCTAGCTATCCTTAAAGATCTGATTTGGAAAGCCCTTGCTTTATAGCTAGCTCTTCCTGGAAAAATCTATCTGTAGGAAAATGCTCAGAGCTCCCTCAGATGTTCAGAATCTTGCTGAGCATTTCATGTAGATATGCACATGCACCCAGGTGTTGCTTGGTTATTGTCTAGTGTAATTGTACATATGCACCCAGGTGTTCCTGGGTTGTCTGACTTGCGCCCAGGTGTCCTGGGTTATTAAACTTAAGTATGAAGGATGGGTGGCTCTGAACCACAGTTCCCGCTCTCCCCCCACTGCCCCCCCTGCGGCGGAGGGGGGCCACAGGGAGGCTGCTACTGCTCCTGGAGACAGTTACTGCAAGCTGTTGCTGCCAGGGCCCCCAGGATGCTCCAAGAGGCCACTGCTGCTACTGCTGCTGCTGCTGCTGCTGCTGCTACTGAGGAAGCTGAGGACTGAGCTCATGTCATCTGCCAATGGCTCCTGGGGTCTTTCCTAGTTACCTAGCTCGTGGACCTGTATGTGAGGGGTCTGATGACCCAGCTGGCCACGTGAGGGGTCTAGTGAGCCAGTCTGGCATATGAGAGGTCTGTGAACCAGTTTGTACAATGGGTTTGAAGGGTCTGTGGGCCCTAGCCTTAACCCGACCAGGCAATTGGCTATGTCAGCAGGATTCTGACAATTGCCCTTAGCAATACACTATCCAACTCAGTGTTTCAATATTGCTCCTTTGAAAAACAGGTGCCAGAGTGGGTCATCGCTCCTTGATGAGATACTACAAACAGCGATTTGGCTTGTCAAGAGCTGTGGCAGTTGCTAAAAATCGGAAGGCTGTGGGCCGGGTACTTCAACAGTACAGAGCCCTTGGATGGACTGGCAGCACTGGTACGTTGATGTTTACAACTACAGACCAGCCCAAGAACTTATATTTCAAGAAGTGGCTTGGGTGCAGTTGTTTCCATTTGTGTCATCCTTGTGGATCCTCTGTAGGGGAAAGTTAAACCTCTGGCTCCAGGGGCTTCCATTACCATTTGATATGTTTATGGCAATAAGCCCAAAGCCCCATGACTTAAAAATTTCATATTCCTGGCACAGTAACTTTACACCGTTAACTTTTTCAGAAGACAGAAATTATAAAAAGAATTCTTTAGTAATAATCGAACGTTGAAATTTTCCTGGAGGCTACACAGAGGAATTAGATAGTATTCTAGTGGTTGATGATGTACTTATAGATTATTATATGATGAGCATAAGTAATTTAATTAATCTGAGCTTCTATTTCCTCATTTATAAAATGGAGATAATAGTAGAGCCTACTGCTTAGAGCTTAGAGGGCTGAATATCATAATGCATGTGTGATATAATGCATGCACATAGTAAAAGTTAGCTGTCAATCCCTTTTTTGTAATTTTCTCATAGAAAACTTAGTAAGAGTCAGAAGGATAAAGCAGGCCACTGAAATTGTAAAGCTTTGAAATCTCGACAATATGATATTACATCGATCCATTCTGATGTGTCTGCCTTATGAAGCTTGTTATCCTTAGATCTTCAGGGAAAACATCAATCTGATTAGAATACTGTGGAGAGGAGGGCTGCCTTCTGGTGTGCTGGAAAGCTCTGGGTGATTCAGTTCCGTTTTAAATGCCACTGTGTTTATATACACGAGGTTTCCTTCACTATGGCTGCTTATAAGCTATGAGACCACTTGAGTCTAGCAGAGTCAGGAATTATTGTCTGACTCAATTTGTAGTGTCTGCCTTTCTCTGTTCCCTTAGATCAATGGGACTTCACCTTTAGGGCTTATAAACCCTTCCAGATGATGAAGACTAAAGGCTTATCCCAGAGAAATGTATATATACAAAAGTTCTAGTGTGCAGTTTTGGGGTGCACATAGCTCTCTGAGGCCCATTGTTTGGAGACCCCAAGTTAGAAACTCATTTAAATATAAGCACCCAGTTGCCCCAAACTAACTTTTGGATTCTCTGCAAATAATGGGTTTTCTTTGATCACAAATAACAGTCCTTTGCCTCATTTTTTAACCCCTTCCAAACACAGGAGCGGCTCTTATGCGAGAGCGGGACATGCAGTATGTCCAGAGGATGAAATCAAAATGGATGCTGAAGACAGGAATGAAGAATAATGCCACCAAGCAGATGCACTTTAGGGCCCAAGTGAGATTTTGAGCATCTCCTGGGACTGAGAGATGCATCTGCTGCCGTTTCCTCTTTGACTCAGGACTGGTAGAATCTGGATTGTACAATTGTGTGATAGACCATTTTGCTGCTGCTTCCTTTGTTCTGGTCCAGTAATAAAAGTTAGAATCATATTGGTTTTCAGATTTCATGTTTGAGCAGTGCTTGGAGGCTGTGTATTTACAAAGTGAGTGGTGTGTCTGCTGGACTCTGGGACCTGCACTACTGCTTGGCAGTTGCTCTATTGCCTCAGCTTTCAAATGACTTACTGCTGTCAGAATAATTTGGGAAACTTGGGAGTGACTTGTCTGCTCCACACTTAGTTCACCCTTCAGAATAACTCACCATGTTATGGCTGTGGGACCTATGTAAGGGAGTTTTGAGGCTTCTGTAGGAGCAAAGTTGAATGTCACTCATGGAGCATTTCATGGTGAGTGTCTCTGGGCACTTTCATTAAATCTGGGCCGAGGTAAAGAAAGTATCAATGGCTTGCTGTAAAGGTTTTTTAAAATTTCTAAATGTAAACGGGAAAAATGGCAGTGCTATACACTCATCCTCAGTATCCAGTGCTGCGTTTACTTGAGCAGTTAGTTTAGGAGGAAAATACAGGTAAAATGTTCAGATATCATTTTTGAAAGAGTACCTAAGAGTTAAATCTCTAAAGAGATTCTCAGTTTAGTGGCTGTTTTAGACCATTTCTGTTGCTTGTAACAGAATACCTGAAACTGGGTAATTTATAAAGAAACAAAATTTATTTCTTATAGTTCTGAAGTCTGGGAAATCCATGGTCCAGGGGCCGCATCTGTTGAGGGCCTTCTGGGTGGGAACTCTCTGTGGGTCCCATGGCAATGCAGTGTATCTCATGGTGAGAGAAGGTAAGAGCTAGAGAGCTAATCTTCTCACTGGCTGTCCTTATAAAGCTGTCAGAACCATGCCCATGACCACCCTTTAACCCATCAACCCATTATTCTGTGAATGGATCAATCAGTTCATGAAGGTACAGTTCACAAGATCCAATCACCTCTTAACGGCTCCACTTTTCACCACCATACTGGGGATATGTTCCCACATGAGCTTGGGGGACATTCAAACCACAGCAGTGGCTTAGCGGAGGGCGCTGTGATATATTGGAAATGAAGCTAAATCTGAAGTTCAAATTCATTGAGCTACCTTTATGACTTTGGAGAAGTGACTTGGTTTTTTAAATCTGTGAAATGGAAGAGTTTATTACCTGAATGATTATTTTGGGGGTTAAATAAATCTGACAAAGGACCCATCACTCATTCAGTCCCTAGCACAAAGTTAGTGCTTGAAGTTCTCCCTTACAGAGCAAAGAGATGCCATACTGAGTAAGGCCAGTGTTCTAGTCAGAGCAGTATTCTGAGTATTGGGTTCAGGGATGCAAGGAGAACGTGGTTGCCCTTGTAACGTATTAACCAGCCCTCATGTACTAGGGGTATGTCTTTTTTTAAACTTTGAATGCAGAGTTGACTTAATTATATACCCTCAGTACACGGTTCACTGTCACCAAACAGTGGAGGACTCTCTGGTTTTGTTCCTTCATCCCATTTTCTTTTTTTTTAAAAAAAGATGACCGGTAAGGGGATCTTGACCCTTGACTTGGTGTTGTCAGCACCACTCTCTCCCAAGTGAGCCACGGGCCAGCCCTCTTCATCCCATTTTCTAACATTCTCCCCACACAAGTGCCTACTCTCTTGTGTTTGATACATCTTTAAATCTATATCCTGGGAAAATGGTGTCGTGCTTTGCATGTGGTATATTTTTAATTTATGTAAACTGAGTGGACATGTATTGTGCTATAGCTCTTCTCAATTTCTTTTCATTCATTCTTTCACTTAACATCTAGCAGAGTCGAGTTTATTGCTTCTGACTGCTGCCTGATATTCCTTAGTGTGCACCTCATTGTACTTATCTTTCCCTACAGCTGTTAACCCTGGTTGTCTCCAATTCCACATTACCACACCAGCCAAGCACTGTTCATGTGTACCTCATTTGTAGACAGACCCTTTTAATTTGTCCTCTTTTTTTACTTTTTGCAGGGGTGGGAGGCAGTGAGGTTTACTGGCTTGTGAAATACTAACACTACCTCCATTTACTTTATTAGCAACTTATTCTAGGCTTCCGAAGACACCTTCTTTGTTCTGATTCTGGGTTTATGGAACAATCCACTGTCTTACCTCTTTCCACATCATAATTTTATAAAATTCAGTTTATTTGTCTTTCAGGAGTAGAATTCTGTTTGCAAGGAGAGGGTAAAGAAAAAGAGATTTAAATATCATCTTCAAGTGAACGAGACAAACATGACAAATGGATTTGTTATTCTGGGGCAACCTCTGTGGTGTAGGAAAGCGTGGAAATGTCTAGTATTTTATTTGCTTACCATTCTCTCCTCTGGTGTGTGTTTATTTTTCTTTCTCTCTGTATACTCTGTTCCCCACTCTGTTTTCTGTATTTCTTGGGCTTCCTGATCTATTCCCACATAGTCATTTGCTATAAGTTCTTTCTGTTTTGGTCTTTTCACCACTTCATGTTCTTTTCCTGGTATCTTATACCTATAACATTGGAGAAGTTAACGTGCGCTTGTGGGCAGACAGAGCTACAAGCTTAAAGCCCAGAGAATGCATATATCCTTAACTTTATGGTTTATAATTTAAAATTTTTCTACCGTTGGCCCTTGAACAACATGAGTTTGAACCGCTCAGGTCCACTTATATGCAGAAGCCTGACTTTTTGTGTGCTCGGGTTCCACAGGACCACCTACTTGACTACTTAACTACTTTACTTAAGTAAAGACATGGGGGAAGTTATACACAGATTTTTCAGATGGCCCTGGCAAGTTGGTTCATCTGTCTTTAGCTTGAGAGATCAAGACTGGGATCAAAAGTGAGAGAACATAATCTTGTTCCCTCTCTATGCATGTCGCAGGAGCGCCTGGTGGCTTGTGGTTGTTTTCACTGCCCATCTACAGACTAGACACTGCGTTGACATATTCTTTCTGCTTTGTGTAGTATGAACTTGCATTTTACATTTACTGAGTCTCAAGTTCTTTCATGTACCATTTTATGACTCTCCACTGTGAGGTATAGGTTTCCTATTTTACAGATGAGGAAATGGACTCAGGGAAAGTCCATACTTTTTAAAGGAGACAGAGAAGGGAGCCAGAGATGATTTCTGGTTCAGCCTTATTGATATTGCAGCACACTTGTGCCGTGTCCTCAGCATCATCCCATCCTAAGGAGCATGGTCGGAGGGAGATGGTGGGCCATAAAATTGTTCTCAGGTTCATTAAGTTTGCAGCAGCTGTGAAAAGAAAATCTCCCTCCAAATCTAGAAATACACACAATCTAATGTTTATGTTAATACATGAAAGAAAATATCACCTTTTCTTTCCTAGAATGTAACAAATTTTGCCCACAACCAATTTTGGTTATTTGTACATTCTTCATTGTAAAACTGTTTTTGTCCACCTTGATTATCATTTCTAAACTCTGTTAAGATCTCATTGGACATGATTAATTTGGCATTCACAGTAATTCATATGCAGGAGGCCAGATAAGAACTGCATTGCCAACTCTCAATGTGTAGATATTTTTTCAAGAGCATTACTGGCAGCCTAGAGAAATGTATAAGTGCTTTGAAGAATACATATCATTTAATTCACACTCATTTGCAACTGGCACATTAATAATTTGTGACACTGAAATTGATGGAGATAAGATTTGATTAGCTTGTTAATGCTGCAAATATTTGAATGTTAGAATAATAATTTATTGATTGCTCATGGGGCATACTGTTATTCTCCAAATCCGTTCTCTTTCCTGTGCATGTGACTTCCCAGCCACAGACTATGAGTTTCCCAGCCTCCCCTTCAGTAAGGCATGGTCATGTGACTAAATTTGGGCCAACCAATGTGCACAGAGGCAATGGATGTTACTTACTGCAGATCTTCTCCAGTGCTGAGACAAGCTGGTTTTCTAGGCTCTGCCTTTTTTTCTTCTTCTCAAGCTGGAAGTGAGGTGTGCCAGTGTCACCCATACTAGATGAGGACAATGCCTTAGAGCAACAGCATGGAAGTAACCTGGGTCACTGAATGATGTCATGGAGTAGAGCTGCCCTGCCACCCTGAGCTGTGGCTGGACTGTTATGTGAAATAAATTGAAGCCATTGTGTTGTGGAGTTTCAGTTACAGTGGCCTAGCTTGTAATCTATTAGAGTAAAACTCCATGATAATGTTAATGTGGCCTGGCATAATGCAAATTTGTTTAAGATGCAATTGGCAATTGCTGTTTCTTACCTGCCTTTTGCCCCTGTTCTCAAACTGTGGTGGACTAAATTCTTACGCAGGGTTGGGTTTGGGGATAGTTAGATAAGAGCTTCATGATCTTGGGGACTTTCCTTTGTGTTTTAGTCCATTTTGTGTTGCTATAACAAAAATACCTGAGACTGGGTAATTTATAAAGAACAGAGGTTTATTTGGCTTATGATTCGGGGACAGCTGCATCTGTCATGGGCCTCAGGCTACTTCTACTCATGGTGGAAAGCGGCAGGCAGCCAGTGAGTACAAACAGATCACATGGTGAGAGGAAGCACGAGAGAGAGAGAGGAGGTGCCAGAGTCTATTAAACAACCAGCTCTCTCAGGAACTAATAGAGCAAGAACTCACTCATTAATCCCCCTGCCCCCAGGGAGAGCATTAGTCCATTCATGAGGATCCACCCCCATGATTCAATCAGTTTCCAACACTGCTACACTGGGGATCAAATTTCCACATGAGTTTTGGGGGAGACAACACATCCAAACTCCATCACTTAGGTCAGTATTTTAAATATTCTCTCTTTTTATTCTTTTGGAAACTGTACAAACTGAAAAAATATTTTTTATTATTTTCATATGGCAACTTTACAAATGCTCGCTGAATTCTTTGACTCCTCCCCTGCAGAGGTAGGGTCTATCTCCCCTTCCCTTGATGCTGGGCTGGGCTTAGTGACTCGCTAGTAACCAATAAACTGCAGCAGAAGCGATGCCACTGACTTCCATGGAAAGTCATAAAATGTAGTCTAGCTACCACCTTGTTTCCTTGGACTCTTGATCATGGAAAAGGTCTGCTATCCTG